GGGGGGGGATAGTAGTTGTGTACAGCTATTTCATGCTTTTTCTTGTAATTAGACAAGTGGATTATAATGGGGAATATTACACTGTAATGTTCCCTATTATAATCTATTTCTCTGATTACAGGTAGGCATGTGATCTATCAAAGTTTGAGACTACGTTAGAATGTGTGACCAGTGACGTGGTCACACATTTTAACGTAATCTCGCCCAGTTTTTCGGTTGTGGAATAGGTGAAGAATTCCAACGCTTTCATTTTTTGGTGTAACTGTATTTTATTTTGAAGGCATGTTTAAATACAATTAAATTAAAATTATTAAATCAAAACAATCTAAAATATAAACAATCAACGTCCCCCCTCAGCGGGACGCGGTAAAATTATCAAACGTTGACCGGTCCGCGGCAATAAAAAGGTTGGGGAGCACTGCTCTAACCCATCATTTTCTGGGTTCCTATCTGTTGTTCCTCCGAAATTTTAGGGGCTGTCGACCACAAATTCTCCATGATTTGTAGGTTAATCGCCTTCTTTTTCATCCTTTTATATAATCCCTTCTAACTCTAAATACTTGAAGGTGATTTTAATAGCAAAACTGAGGCCAGATTTGGGAGGAGACACATTAGAGTCTTATCTACTGCAGCCATCTCCATCTTTCTGTACATAAAGCAGGTAGGGGGCCAATAACTTTGTGGATTCCGGTTTAACTCGCAGGCTGTACAGCTGACAAAGCTGGAGACTGCTACCTCTAGTCCTGGAATTTAGGGGGAGTCTAGATGCTGAAAGGTCTACTTGCAATGTAAGGTCTGTCTACAGAAGCTATTTCATTTATGGCCCCAGTCCCAGCTGTTTAGTGAACCGAGAGTTGTGTAAAGTTGAGTCACTTCCTTAGGCTTCATAGACACGTGCGTACTAAGGAGTAGACAATGTACATTTGAGATCTTTCCAGGGCTGGGAAGCCCATGTGTTGCGTAATGCCACCCAGGGGTGTATCTACTGCAAGGCAAACTAGGCACTTGCCTAGTGCAGCACAAAAAACGCTGCCCCAAAACAATGAGGCGGACAGGGCCGGACTTACCTTTGGGAAAACTGGGCACTTGCCCATTGGGCCGAGGCTGGGCGGCACAGAATCAGGCAGCAGCGGCTGCCCAACGAGGCAAACTAGGTGGCCGCAAGGCCCTAAGAGCGGCCGTCTAGTTAGAGAGCTGCCTGGTGGAGGGGAGGGCCCAGTGAGATACGGTCCAGCTGGCTTTGTACAGGAGGTGGAGGAGAAGCAGCAGGTGGCTCGGGGCTGGCCATAGCATGTGATCTGATGGCGGGATGTCCCAGAAGAAGGATGGGGACTGCAATGTATCCTGTTGGTACTGATGGCACTTTGAGCTGCAGGTAAGAGGAGCAGCACATGCATGCAGGGAAAGGGACTCTGCGCAGCCCACCATAAACCCTGCACAGCTCTACTGAGGCCCCGTGTGCGCTGTATCCAGTGACTGACAGGTTGTGCAAAATGTCCTAAACAGGAAGGGGCGGGGCAAATTTAGATTGAGGGGGGTGCCCGAGTTTAGTCTTGCCTAGGGCAGCACAAAACCAAAATACACCACTGATGCCACCCATAGACATGAATGGCCCAGCTGGAGGTACCAATTGTGTAAATAGGTGGCAGGTGCTCTTTACATGCCTACAGGTTTTAGAGGACTTTGCTGCACTGAAGAACCCACCCCAGGCAGTGAATGGTGGCATGAGAGTGACTGGGGGTGGGCATGGAGCTGACAGATTGGAGATGTGCTTGTGTGACACAAGGACAGAAGGTGGTCACGGCGTACTTCACTGCAGAAGGTTGTGTAGGAACTTGATGTGGAACACAGACTCTGCTACTCCCAGAGGAGCAAGCTAATGTGCTCCAGTTTTCCCAGTTGACTTAAAGCCCAACTCCAGGATTTTGTTCAGCAGCGGTAGGGCTGCTGACCTAGAATAGCTGTCCTATAGATGAAGATCAGAAGGAGAACCCTACCACAGATTCAGTGAGGCTGAGAGTGAGGAACAGGCCAGGTGCCATTATGATTCTGAGTCAGGAAGCAACTACCATAGTAGAAAGTATTGCAGACGAAGTGACCTGCCGCCACCACGTTGGTCTGGAGGTCTCCAGTTGAAGGGCTGTTGTAGCAGCTGAGGTTTGGGTTACCAACTGACCAACTTCATGACCATGTGAGGACGGTCCAGTGTGCCCGTGTTCCTGCACAAGGACTTTTTCCTTTCGTCCTGTGAGCACCGTCCTCCAATCAGAACCTGAAAGAAGTCCTATCAGGTTCCTGATAGAAATCACTCACAGAAGATAACAGAGCTAGTTAACCTGGGGAGCAGAGCAACAAGAGGGGAGCCACAGATCAGGAGACCTCAGGGGAAGGAGTCAAGGTTCAAGGAGGCAACTTATGGCGACAATACTAAAGCACAGGCCTCAATGCAGGGACAGGTTAAATACCCTTCCAGATCAGAACCAGGTGGTGACCAATTGCTGAGACACCTGCAGGTGAGCACTGGAACTGCAGGATCTGCTCCAGCGCCACCTGGAGGTGTTCTGGTCCCTGACACAAACCTTTAAAGGAGAACTATGAGGTGAGTGATTTTCACTCACCTCATAGTTCTAGCCGACCTGTGACAATGAGACTGTCACAGGTCGGCTCAGTAGATCGGGAGGTGAGCGAACACATACCGGCGTTCGCTCACCTCTTGATCCTGTCACGGCTCTCTGCCGTGACAGGGGGAGGGGCTGGATTCCCCTCTCCCCGCTCCGATCTGCCAGCGCTGACTGGGGGAACGGACGGGGGAGGGGGCGGGTACAGCTGGCTCTGCCTCTAGATAGGCAGAGCCAGCTGTCACTCCCGCAGCTGGGCGGATCCCGCCATCTACGTCGGGATCCGCTCCGGCTGCGGCGTCTCAGTATATAGGGAGCTGTAGCTCTCTATATACTGAGCTTAGGGTGACGGGAGGACGCTAGTTTGTGTCCTCCCGTTACCCTAAGGAGAACTATGGGGAAAAGCACTGACCCCATAGTTCTCCTTTAAATATGTTGTCAGGAGTTGGGCTAGTACAACCATTCATTGAGTTCCTGAAGGTCATCATTTTTGCATGTTTGTTGTCACCCTCCAGAGGAGGCCTCTCATTAGCTTAATGCTCTGAAACCAATGCCAAGAACATCCTCATTGGAAGCCCAAAGCCACGTTCCTCCTGAGCCACCAATTAAGAACTTTTCCTTTAACACTCTCTCCTTCTGTTTGCAGCGGAAGAAGCAGATGAAATTCTCATCCATAGTGAAGGAGGAGTAGAATCCGCCCTGAACTACGCCAAGCGCTGGTGTAAATATGTCCGGGAAGTGCTGGGTTACATCGAGAAGAGACTCAGCTACGGTACAGTCCTTACATATACCATAAGCTCTTGTTTTGTGACACCATACGCGGTTCTGTAACAGAGATTGGTTATAGCACCTCATTACCAGCCGTCAGGGTGCCCGGAATGTGGATCCTAGTTAGCCTTGGCAAATGTAGACATGCGGTATTATTATTATTATTATTACATAGTATTTATATGGCGCCAACAGTTTGCGCAGCGCTTTACAATGTAAGGAAGACATTACAATTACAATACAATTCAAGACAAGATGGTAAGGAGGGCCCTGCCCCTGAGGGCTTACAATCTGAAAGGGGAGGGGGAAATGATACATGAGGAGGTAGCTGTGTGGGGATGAATTGTTTGAGAACGTGATGGTTCAGTGGTTAGGTTGAGGTGGGATAGGCTTCCCTGAAGAGAAGAGTCTTCAGGGAACGCCTAAAGACAGTCAGGGTGGGAGATGGATGGACAGTTTGGGGTAAAGAGTTCCAGAGGATGGGAGAGACTCTAGAGAAGTCCTGGAGGCGAGTATGGGAGGAGTTGACTAGGGAGCTGGAAAGCAGGAGGTCTAGGGAAGAGCGGAGTGGACGGTATGAAGTTACTTGCTTTAGCGGCATGGCAGAAATTAAGCTACATGAACACAAGGGGGGCATCATCGTGCTCCTGTTCATGTCGCCTGTATATTCACATCACTTGATAGGAAATCAGGGATGAATTATTGATACAATTAGTAATTCAACTGTTCGATGGCTTTTCAAAGTGTTATGGGCCATTGGTACTGCGGCTTTGGTTAGGGTGCTGCAAACTTCAAAAATGACCTCAGCCCTGCTCCAGGAGCTTCCTGGAATCAGAGCCGTAGCTGGCTCCTTTTGCGCCCGAGGCAAGAACAGAAAATTGTGCCCCCCAACAGACGTGCGGGGTATGTGATGTCATGCGCCCCGCCTCCAGGGGCGGAGAATGCGCTGGTGGCCAAATCCAAAATTCCATAAAAATTAGTTTTAGTTATTGTTATTGTTTAGTTATTAGTTAGTCTTTGCACATGTCTAGTAAGATGTGTGTGTGTGTGTGTGTGTGGGTGGGTGGGGG